TCATGAAATGAGAACTATAATTACCGAATGGGTCTCTAAGAGCCTAATCGCCTAATTGTTGCAGCGATGTAATATTTAACAAAATAAAATATTTGTAGTTTTTAACCAGTTAACTGTGTTTGGCGAGTATACACGTCATGAAAAAAGTACAAAATTTTGGCGGCAATTTAAGGTACGGCAATTTAAGGTTAAAATTTTGTACTTTTTTTCATGATGTGTATACTCGTCAAACACAATTAACTGATTAAATATAAAGTATTTTTAATTTTGTGGAAAGACATAAATGTTAGTGACGCATTTAAATCCTCCCACAAAATCAAAAATATCACATCGCTGCAACAGCCGCAATTAGGCTCTTAGAAAGGTTACTTAAAAACTCGTTCCATCTTTCCTTGGTTTGTAATCTCAGAACGGATGTAAATATATAGTTTAACAATAATTATCCCGAGTCGAATTCTTGCCCTATATTGCCACCTTTAATTCTATAGCAACTAAAATAGCAAAAAATATTATGAAATAATTTACTTCTACTTTGACCATGATGTCTGAAATTTCCGTTTTCACTATTTTTAACGTCACAAAGTAGATTTTAAATCTTCATGTAAATTTAATAATCGAAATATTGAGAGCATTTTTATTTTCAAAATAATATTAAAATTAAATATGTAGGATTAAAAATAAAAAAGAAAATTTAACAAATGTAGTATCGTCAAACTTTTAATTAGTTTACAGACCATCTAAATAGCCACAGACCTCAAGGATATATTTTTATGTAGGATGTATTATTATTATTCATAATTCAAAATATTGAAAAAATTATGAAAAAATTACAAATTCATCTACATTGTATTTTAAAGTATTCAAAACATTCCACTTAACACTTTAACGGTCGCTCACACAACATGTGATAGCCGGAACAACTGTTACTGTCCGCTCACACAACATGTGTGTGATGCTACCGCCGAAGAAAATGTTGCCGGCCCCTGACGAAATTTGACTGCGTAGACGTGCGGCCGTTAAAGTGTTAAGGTTGTAAGGTAAAATTTACGTGTTATTTGCAAAATGGTAAAGGACTTTTTGTGATTGCAGCTCTTCAGTTTATTTGAAACACAAAAACCAAAAAGATTTTTAATCTATATGAACGTAGCTATCGTCTGAACCAGGTAAACAAAAAATATTAAGATTTAATAAAATGGCGATACTTTAAACAAAAAAGTTCGGTTTAATTGTAAATTTTTTTTACTTTAAATGCCAATAAAAAATAGAAATTCTCGAGATATCAATCTAAGCGTGGTTTCAATGATAAAACATAAACACAAGCGGAAGTCAATTAGTTTAGTAATTTTCGAGATATCACTTCGATCGTTTCGAGGAACATGATTCTGAGAAAAAAGCGTTTAAAATTTTGCATGTAGTTTGAACGCAGATAATACTAAATTTATAATGTTTAGCCTCCTAATCTGTTATACGAATGCCATAAAGGAAGCCTTTCTTCTCTTGGAACATTTGTTGCTGAACAGACTGTTCTGTTTTACTGACAATTCTGACCTTTTTAAAAATATCGGATGCTTAGTGCTCTGCTTTGTCTATATAGTCTATAGCACCCTTCACAGTTACAAATGCTCGGACTGTAATGATCAATTATGCTCAAATCCCATTGTAGATAACATTTGTAATATTAAAAAATCCTTCGTTAAAAATGCACACAGCACAGAAAATAGCAATTTCAATAATCTGAACTCCGCAGTGAAGGTGCTTTGGAGCAAAAAGCCAAATCAAATGTTGTAAATCTGTTTTCAAGCTTCTATAACTTCGTTATTTTACGATGTTTCGACTTGGCGTTTTAGGAAAATATTTTTAAGAGTCAAAATTTTACAAAAACGCAAAAAAAGAAAAATCGATTTTTCTACCCTATACACAAGGGACTCTCTCCTTAAGACTGTCAAAGTGGCATTCAAATTTCGACTTGCGATTAAACACTTTCGTAAAAACGAAAAATATTCTTGCGTTGAGATATTCGCACACACATCGAGAGAAAGGGAACTATTGTGAAGAACACGACTCACGAGATTTCACGGAGGAACAGCGCGAGAAAGACGAAACAGCGATCAATCAAGATGAAACGCTGTCATCAATTCGTTACTGAGTCGCGCAACGAGAAAGATAGTCGGACAAATTTTCTCCAGATTCGCGCGTCGGCTGATGATTTGAAATATCCAGAAGACGAGGACGTAGGAACGATCTCTATCACGCGTTTTACCGCTCGATTAAAGTGGATGAAAAGTAAAAAAATTGTGCGACGGCTTGTGTTCACAAAGGACCGGCAACCCTACAGCCATGATACAATCCATGCTGCATTCGTAGCGGCATAAAGGCGCGGTCTATCTATAGGTATATACGAATCAACGAGACGCGTAGGTCGCATCGCCATGATCAATCATCGCACGCCTATTCGCGGGACAGAAGAACGATCTGTCATCCACTTTCGTCTCGTTACGTCAGTCCGTTCTGCCCGGAATCGGCTTCGTCGCCGTCCCGGCTTTATATTTGACCGAATTTTGCCATATGAAGAGGGTGTCCCTATATTTTTCCCGATAGCACGATGTTCCCGGAAGTTTGCCGGAAGCGAATCTCGGTATATCCTAGGATTTACAATTTACGCCGTGTGTATCAGGAAATCGTAAGATTAATCTTTTACAAGTAAATTATCTTGAATATAACATTTTTTCTGTCGGATTTTTGGTGTCATGAAACTCCAAGTTTAGATTTTGAACCAATTATCGGATTAAAATAAAAAGAATCGAGTTCGAGAAATCGTCAGAAATTGAAGAGACATTATGCCATTTGAAAAAAATTTTGCTAGAAAGTAAAAAATCAAATATTTTAAAGATGTAAACCGCTAAAGAGAGACAATATTGACCATGATATAAATATCACAAACAATTTACAATTGCAAAAATTATCTACAAGAAATGAGAAATAACAAAAAGAAACACTTGACATTTAGGAAAAAAATGTCATTCTAATAAGGGCGCACTTGGTGACGTAAAGTTCAACCATGAATTCGTTATACGTGTATACGTATGTGTGTATGTATGTGTATTCTCGGTTAGGAAGCGATCTGGAAGGATCTATCTGTCATTAGGTCGCCGACAAATGCATCGAATGATGCGCCCGACTGCACATCCCGACACATAATAGTAGGTCGGCGCTAATGACGTTGATTCGTTCTACTTCGCGCCACTGGTATGGATGGAGTCGCGCGTTGCTATTCGCCCGGGTCCTTGCCAGACGTCTACCTCGATCGGCCCGCAAACAATTTCGCAAGCTGATCTGGCAGCTGGCGATTTTATACGAAGACACGCGAAACCGGCATTGAGAAAATGTTGCGCCCTCGAAAATGATGCGATTCGAAAATCGTTACTTTGCAAAGACGAGAACTGGTCTCTTTTGTGTCAAATAAGAAGATATATAGATGCAAATTGCAAAAATTATTATGATTTCAAACACAGCGTTATTTTTTACGTACACGCAATATATATTGAAAGAAAAATCTATAATACTTGATATTAATTGCATAATTAAAAAAATTATACTGAAGAAAACTAGAAATATAATAAATGTTACTATATAATATGGGTTATAATTACGATAATTACGATAAAGGCATAGTATGACTAACCCGCGTAAATTTTTTACCATTAATTATAATGATTTTAAATATAATTATAGTAAAATAGCAGGTATGAAATGATAACAAAAGTTGACTATTTTATATAATTATATAATTATTTAAAAAATTATATAAAAATATAATGAATAACAATCATATAGTAAGTAACAAATAAATATTATATATAACAATATTCTTAACGCGTGTTTTATTGTACACATGATAATAGTAATAAATGATATAATGAAAGAAACAACTATTTCTATAAAAACCTGTGTGACTAAACGAATGTTTAGATATGTTTACATTTGTTTAGAGATGTTTAGAATGTTTAGAGATTTGTAATTAATAAATTATCAGCTACAAATATAAGTTCGTCCCGCTATTTCCTGCTGATTCGCTAATTTACTTTAATTTAATATTTTAATTATTTACTTTTCGTATTAAATTGTACTGTTGAAAAGTTACTTTATTTTATTTATTGGTTATATTATGGACAATATAAGATATCTATTGAAGAATTGAAACGTAATGCGTGAGACAGGCGAGTCATATGGAAAGCATGTTTTTCAAATACGATATAATATTAAATGGCTAATAAGTAAGATTTCAGACAAAATAGATCATTCACTAACACATTAAAAACAACACAGTTAAAAAAAATAATAAATTCTATTCAGGAATATGAATACATATTATTTTTTGTTGTAACTATATTTTATAATACGTTATATATATAAATATATTCTGACAAAAATAAATACCGGGAATTGTTCAATAAAACAAAATATTGGTTTAATCATCCAAATTTATTTTGTCGCCTTCAAAATAGTCTCCATTTGATGCGACACACGTATACCAACGAATAATCTAATCGTTGTAACAGTTCTTATAAGCACTTTTCGGTATGACCTGCAGCTCCTTTTGCGAATTTTGTTTTATGGCTTCAATGGACTCAAAACATCTTCCTCGAAGTGGTAATTTGAGTATGGGGAACAGAAAAAAGTCACAGGGCCATATCTAAAGAATACAATGTTTGATCAATGACATTCATTGAGTTTTTGGTCAAAAATTCGCATACAAGGATTGATGTGTGAGACGGTATATTATCCTGGTGCAAAATTCAAGAATTGTTCTTCCACAAATCTGGCCTTTTCTGGCGAACATTCTCTTTCAAACGCCTCATAACATCTAAATAATATTATATGTTGACTGTTTGCCCCTCCTGAAGGGAGAAATTCCGACAATACCACAATGGTCAAAGAAAACAGTCAATATATATTTAATTTTCGAGCGACTTTGACGTAGTTTCTTCGGCTTCGGCTCGTTATCGAAGTTCCGAAACTTGTTGGCCAGTTTGCATGTCAAACTCATAAACCCACGTTTCGTCACCCGTTATGAGGCGTTTCATGAATGTAGGGTCCGAATTGGCTCGTTCAAGCATGTCTTCAGCAACTTGTTTGCGGTGCTCTTTTTGAAGAAAATTCAGCTCCTTCGGAACAAGCCGTGCTGCGACGCGTCTCATGCCCAAAACATGAACTAAAATGGTGCAAATGGACTCGTGAGATATGTCCAGATTCTGGGCCATCTCTTTTAAGCTTGAATGACGATTTTCCATCAACATTTCCTTCACTTTGTCGACATTTTCGTCAGTCGAAGACGTTGAAGATCGACCGGAACGAGGCAAGTCTTCAACCACTTCTCGGCCTTCTTTGAATGCTTTGTACCGCTCGTATGCTCGTGTTTTCGATAAAGCTGACTCACCGTAGGCCTTCTCCAACATTTTCAACGACTCAGCACAGAAATTTCGTTGGAAACACAAAATTTGAGGCAAACTCTTTGTTCGATATTTTTATCCATTTAAAAAATTGCAGAGTACACTTGAGGTCGAATAACAAAACCAACAGCTGTAAACAAACTGGTTGACAGATGGCGCGAAAACTCTACGTGACAATTAGGTACATCGGTACCAACTTATAGCAAAAAATTTGTTTTCATATCTTTTACGCGTATTTTTTAAATAAACAATTCCCGGTATTTATTTGACAGAATGTATACACTTAGTTTATGACAACTATAAAATATAGTTATACTAAAATGAATGTCGTAGTTATTAGGATTATAAATCCAGGTTCACTTGCTATTTTGTACGCTTAAAAACAACTGCAAACATATAGTTAAGGCTAAAATTTACAATAAAATACAATGAAATTATAGTTACTCTAACTATTTCTTTCTCTCAGTGCAATCTTTCGTAATGTCCTGAAGAAGAGATCTAAGTGAGATGCGATCGTCTCGCTGCACGAAAACAGTATTTTCTCTCACAGATCTCGTGTTCGCTGCTGCAAAAATCTCTTCTTTTCGTTCCAAAATGACGCGGCACAATGGTAAAATATGACATATGATTTCTGAATAAGCCGGCAATAAAATACAGCGACCGGGCTGCGCGGAAGATTAAAGTTAGCCGATATCCAGCCAGCCGGAGACATAAATTAAACGCGCAAAAAGATAAATCTCCGTCGGGGGAACAACTTTTGAAAATCGAGGTGCTATATTCGTGCTACAATCGCAATGACTATCCGTTATGAATACGTTACATGGGCGTTAAATCTCGAGTAACTCGCCACGTGCACGTATACGCCAGATTCCCGTGGCGTTGTACTACACAAATCGCGTATGTGCATATATCGTATGTATATATATATATATATATATGCACGTTAAAAAACGCAATATCGATTTTACGAAATCGTTTCGCGTATTAGCGTGACAAATCGCATTGAGAAAAGTTAGAGTTATTTTCGGCTTCAACTACACTTTTCTTATGATTTTAAATCAAAATAATAGTTTGTTGATATAAAAGAGTAGTAGGAATATGCATATAAGATTATTATCACCGACTATAATAACGCTTAGTCCATTGAAAAAAATGTTATCGCTTAAGTAATATCTACTTAATTCATATAAAGTAGTTACACCAATACTCCTTGACAAATATTTACTAGAAGTGGAAATATAATTAATTATATGTACAATATGACATGTCCTTCATATAAGTAGACATTTAGTTGTATATGTTGAAGCAAATGTGGGGCAAATATTATATTCATAATATTGAGAATATCAAAATTTCTTTTTAGAAAATATTTACTGGGCAGAAAAATTAAAATTTAAAATCACTAAATTTCTTCAATGGAAAAGAAGTATTACATAATTCTAATAAATACTCTCTTAAATTTAAAACCATTTTACACTTACATTCAATAATCGATTTATAGATTAAGATGTTACTGTATTCAAGTAAATATTTATTACACAAGCTATTAAAATATAGTTCAATTGATCGAAATATTACTTTATTTAAGAAGCTGAAAAACAGGTTTACTGGATTTCAGCACATTTTTCTGTATAGAATAATGATGCTCCTGACTATGATTCCTTCACTGTACAATAATAATAGTTACAAATATGAAATATTTTTCTTTCACGAACGTGTCACGTGACGATTCGCAAAAGGTGAGCGAAAGATAGATCTGAATAAAGTAGTAGATAGCGTGGGAGATAAAAAGAGAGAGGGAGGGAAGAAGAGGGAGAGAGAGAGAGAGGCGACTGACGACAAACGATGAAGAGGGTTATCTCCCTACGGTCACAGTATAAGGAGCACCATACGAATCCGATTTGGATAATACCAGCGAGGGGGAGACAACGTCGGGGTTCCCGACCCGCCCGCTCCGGGTTAACCCCCGAAAAGTTCGCGCTTAATATTATTAAATTAAAGGGACAATAGAGACTGGCCGCGTCTGCGGCACGCGACGTTTAAGCGATTTTAATAACATTTCACGGAGATTTTTTTAATAATATGATAATAAAGCGAAATGAGAGAAAGAGAGGAAACTCGCTCGACGGATTATTATCATTCTGTCATGGGGATCTCCATCCACGCGCGCGCCTTTCTCCGCATCCATCTGCCTCTCCGCTTTTCCTCCCCCATTTCTCACCCGCCCCCTCTGCCTCCCTGCACATCTCTCCGCGTCTTCCTGGGTCTTCATCGACCGAATCTGCCGCTCCGCTTTTCACTTCTACGAATGGCGGGAGTTTCTGTTTCACTTTCGTTTTAATATCCGACAAAAGGGAAGATCCTCGCGATGAGTGGTTACGCATTGGCGGCGGCGACGACGCGAATTGCCGCACGAGAATCTCGAGTTCGCGTTCTTCAATCCTCGCGCAAACGCGAGGACGAAAGAGAGCGAAAATTTACTTGGGAGGCGTCTGTGAAACATTTTTGATATTTTTATTTCAACGATTGTGTGTGTGTGTGTGTGTGTACACCTTGTGATACGAGGTGGTCTTTCTCATTCTGAGCCTCTGTGACTCGCGACATGTCTGAACGACAATTCTATTTCTATCTCCTCCTCTCTCTCTCTCTCTCTCTCTCTCTCTCTCTCTCTCTCTCTCTCTCTCTCTTTCTCTCTCTCTCTCTCGTGACTTGCAATAGAACAGAGTTAATAAAAAGATTGTACAACTAGGGATATAGTCGCTTGCTTAGCTTCCTCGTCCCTCCTAAAAACAGTAGAAGTTGGAATAGCAAAAGATAGATTCTAATGATATAATTTACGACTATTTTGATTCTGATAATGTCTTAAAATTCCGTTTTCGCTGTTTTTCAGCATCGAAATAGATTCGTTTGAATACCGTTTCGAATTTGGCTGATAAAAACTAGAAATCCTGAGTTTGTTCTAATGAACATGCGCTTGGTTGTTCATTATTAATTAACCTCAACCAAACTTTCTCCAAGTATACAGTAAAAAAAATTTTGTGTTAAAAACGGCCCGCCGAAACGGTCTTATTTGTTCTCGTTGGTTGCATACCATTAGAGCCTTTATATTTTTCGTTGTTAACATTCTCCGTATAACACGAAATTTCAGTGGACTGTTTTTAACATCACATATTTTACTGCGTAGCAACAAAATTTTACTCGGAGACGAATTTGCTTACATTTAAACGACATACAAGTGTTATCGCGTCATTTAAGTCGTTAAAATAGCCTTTCGCCGAATGGGAATGGCAAATCGCGCTCCCGATCTTCCACTGGAGCGCGATTTCTCGAGAACCGCGCGACATTCTTCGCCCCGCTCGTCGCTTTCTCCTTAATCACAAAGGCTCGCGCGCGTTTTATAGTTTTCACGACGCTTTGTAACGACATAAAGGAGTGACGCGATCTCCCCGAGAACACGGCAACTATTATGGCTTAAAGAATAGGGATATTTTACGCTCGGTAAAACACAGTCGATCGGACCCCCAAACCCGTTCTTGGTCCCTCTTCACAATGGCCGGGCTAGGTGAGCCCTAAGTGTCAACTCGTTCTTGTTTCGTACGGGTGGCCTCCCGCCCGTCGTCTCTCCCCCGATATAACTTTTCCACCGTTCGCGTCGAGTAGATCTCAGGTATCCGAGGAAGGGTTGTCTTTCGAGCGTGAACTACGCTAAAGTATCCCTCCGCGGTATGTGAGTTTCCTCTCCCTCGTTCTTACTTTCACTCTCGCTCTCTTTCTGGCGTGCGCACGCAATTATCTTTCATTTTGCGACTATATTCTTCCCGTTTTATGTATATTTCATTCTTATTTGCATTAATAATCACGTGCTCGCTTTATAGTGCTCGGCGCAAAATTACGTGACGTGCATTCGTCTCATAAATGCGTCTCGTTTTCCCAATTTATTAGACGAGGGATTTCCGTGCGAACGAAGACGTGGGACGAAACGCCGAGCGGCAAGGGGAAAGAAAGAGAGAGAGGAAGAGAGGTCGATCGTTATCATTAGCGGGCCGATATCACGGGCCTCGTGCGGATTGCGCGATGTGCGCGCAGTGGAGCAGATAGAGCTGCAAAATATTAATCTCTTGTCGGGGCGAATGTATTTTTCAAAATTTCCGCGCGCGCCGTTCTATAATGCTCCAATAGTTAATGCGGGACCATTAGTCAAACGTCGGGGCTCCTCGTGCACACGAAAAGAGAAATTTCGATTTTAAATCGCTACATTTATCATGCAAGCAGGCGCATATGACACCGTTCTGATTTTATTTTACCTCTCTCTCTCTCTCCCCTTCCCTCTTTCCATCTCTCTCTCGGTCTGCCTTTGCCGCGCAACCCCTTTTTTCACAACGGCCGACGTGTACCCGTCACCAATACCGAGCTGTTTCCGCTTACCGACAAACCAGTTAGGTAATAATTTCGCATTACCGGTAGTGCTCCCGTCGAGGCTATCGTTCGTTCATGGTTGAGAAAAAAGGAAATGTACTGCGTGAGTGTGAATTATTCCGAACTTATGGAAAATTCGTATGCGTGTGTGTGTGCGTGTGTGTGTGTGCGCGCGCGCGTGTGTACGCGCGTATGTGTATAAACGGAAGCCTATGTCACGTATGTGTGCGTGTATATATATTTGGTAAAAGCGTCAGCGATACCTAATTTAAAAGCCATACTTGTCCCATAAAGTACGCTTCCCATTCATCCGTCCTCGTAAACATGCTATCAGAAAATAATAAAAACGCGGAGGGAAAAGTGGGTCTGAACTCTCCGCACCAAAAGCCATAACGTGTGCCGGGTCCGCTCGTAAATTTCGGACCGCGATGTAGTCGTCTATTTATTTCGATTCTGGAGGAACGATTGAAATATAAGCGCGGAGAAAATCTCTTTGCCGAGAGTGCGGTTTCGTGAGAGAGACGCCCTGAGTCGAAATTTTTATGCTACTTTGGCGCTTTCCAGGATTGTTTGCGCCTACTTAAATGGTA